AATTATTTATTTGGCGATGCACTTATTATCAAAATTTTTGAGGATTTGATAGAAGAAGGTGTAAAAATGGCGGATTCATATGCTTTGGATCATGAAGAATTATTTGTTTGTAGAAATTGCCACCTTTGCTTCTGCTAATTTGATGAGACACACTATGAAAATTATGAGTAATAAAATTGCAAATTTCATCTTTTCTAGACTATAAAAAATTATTTATTTAGCGATGCGCTTATTATCAAAATTGTGGTCTTTGTTTCTCCTAATTTGATGAAACATACTAAGAAAATTGCGAATAATAAAATTACAGATTTCATCTGCTTTGGACTATGAAGAATTATTTATTTGGCGATGCACTTATTATCAAAATTTTTGAGGATTTGATAGAGGAAGGTGTAAAAATGGCGGCTTTATCTGCTTTGGGCCGTGAACCATTATTTACTTGTAGAAATTGCGACCTTTGCTTCTGCTAATTTGATGAGACACACTATGAAAATTATGAGTAATAAAATTGCAAATTTTATTTTCTCTAGACTATGAAGAATTATTTATTTGGCGATGCACTTATTATCAAAATTGTTGAGGATTTGATAGAGGAAGGTGTAAAAATGGCGGCTTTATCTGCTTTGGGCCGTGAACCATTATTTACTTGTAGAAATTGCGACCTTTGCTTCTGCTAATTTGATGAGACACACTATGAAAATTATCAGTAATAAAATTGCAATAGGATTTGATAGAGGAAGGTGTAAAAATGGCGGCTTTATCTGCTTTGGGCCGTGAACCATTATTTACTTGTAGAAATTGCGACCTTTGCTTCTGCTAATTTGATGAGACACACTATGAAAATTATGAGTAATAAAATTGCAAATTTTATTTTCTCTAGACTATGAAGAATTATTTATTTGTTGATGCACTTATTATCAAAATTGTGGTCCTTGTTTCTCCTAATTTGATGAGATATACTATAAAAATTGGAAGTAATAAAATTGCGAACTTCATCTGTTCTGAACTACGAAGAATTATTTATTTGTCGATATACTCGTTGTCAAAATTGTGGCCCCTGTTTCTCTTAATTTGATGAAACACGCTATGAAAATTATGAGAAATAAAATTGCAAATTTCATCTTCTCTAGACTATGAAGAATTATTTATTTGGCGATACGCTTGTTGTCAAAATTGTGATCTCTGTTTCTCCTAATTTGATGAGACATACTATGAAAATTGGGAATAATAAAATTGCAGATTTCATCTGCTCCAAATTATGAAGAATGATTTATTTGTTCATGCACTCGTTGCCAAAATTGTAGTCTCCGTTTCTTCTAATTTGATCAAACACATTATGAAAATTAGGAATAATTCGTGTCTTCGTTGAATCGAGATTGATGAATTAATTCGATTTCGATTATTTGCATTGTCGATGAAAGAAAGCGCGAAAATGGAGGAATTTATATACTCCATCGATTCCCGACCACATCACGTGTGAATTAATTAAATAAATCATGAAAATTACGAGTAGTTAATTTGTATTTCTAACGAAAAATCGAGTCTTCCACGGCTTCAATCAAGAGAAACGTAAAAATGGCGGACGTTGGAACTTTGTGCAGCTTAACTACAAGAACCACGAAAATTAAGAGTAATTTCTAATTCCCCTAATAAATGAGATAGATCAAAGAATCGATGTTTTTAGTATTCATAGAATCGTTTCTTCCAGGTTTCCAATCGCGAGAAGCGTAAAAATTGCGGTCATTAGCTTGCCGATTAATTCCCAACCGCATCACGTACAGCTTGATTAGATAAACTTTGAATAATTTACATTTTTAACGAGTGAGATAGATCGAGAAATCGATGTTCTTGTTACTCACGCAATTGCGACTTCCGAGTTTCCAATCGGGAGAAACATAAAAATGGCGGCTATTAACTCCCCGATTAATTCCCAACTACATCGCGTAGAACTTAATTAGCCAAACTTTAGAATAATTTCTACCTTTGACGAATGAAAGGGAGTGAGAAATCGATGTTCGTATTATTGATGGAATCACGATTTTTGGTCGAAGAAAGCATGAAAATGGCGACTATTATCTCCTCGATTAATTTCTAATTGCACCACGTGGAGCTTAATTAGCCAAACGTTAGTATAATTTCTGCATTTGATGGATAAAAGGGACGGAGAAATCAATATTTGTATTATTGAAGGAATCGCAATTTTTGGGATTCGCGATTTTCGGTCGAAGAAAGCATAGAAATGGCGACTATTAGCTCCGCGATTAAGTTCCAATCGCATCAAGTAGAGCTTAATTAGCCAAACTTTAGAATAATTTCTAGCTTTGACGAATGAAAGGGAGTGAGAAATCGATGTTCGTATTATTGATGGAATCGCGATTTTTGGGATTTGCGATTTTTGGTCGAAGAAAGCATGAAAATGGCGACTATTAACTCCTCGATTAATTTCTAATTGCACCACGTGGAGCTTAATTAGCCAAACGTTAGTATAATTTCTGCATTTGATGGATAAAAGGGATGAAGAAATCAAAATTTGTATTATTGAAGGAATCGCAATTTTTGGGATTCGCGATTTTCGGTCGAAGAAAGCATAGAAATGGCGACTATTAGCTCCGCGATTAAGTTCCAATCGCATCAAGTAGAGCTTAATTAGCAAAGCCTTAAAATAATTTCTGCTTTTGATAGATAAAACGGATAGAGAAGCCGATGCTTGTATTACTGAAGGAATCGCGATCTTTGGGATTCGTGATTTTCGGTCGAAGAAAGTATAAAAATGGCGACTATTAGCCTCCCGACTAATTTCCGATCGCACCAAGTAGAGCTTAATTAGCCAAGTCTTAGCATAATTTCTGCCTTTGACGGATAAAACGAATGGAGTAGTCATTGTTTGTATTATTGAAGGAATCGTGATCTTTGGGATTGGCGATTTTCAGTCGAAGAAAACATAAAAATGGCGACTATTAGCACCCCGATTAATTCACAACTGCACCACGTAGAGCTTAATTAGTCAAACTTTATAATAATTTCTACCTTTGACAAATGAAAGGGTTTGAGAAGTCAATATTTATGTTATTCATGAAATTGCAATCTTCGGCATTCGCAATTTTCGATCGAAGAAAACATAAAAATGGCGACTATTAGCGCCCCGATTAACTTCCAATCGTATCAAGTCGAACTTGATTGGCAAAGTTTTGAAATAATTTCTGTCTATGACGGATAAAACGGATGGAAAAGTCGATGTTTGTCTTATCGAAGTAATCGCAATTTTTGGGATTCGCGATTTTCGATCAAAGAAAACATAAAAATGGCGACTATTAGCGCCCCGATTAACTTCCAATCGCATCAAGTCGATCTTGATTGGCAAAGCCTTGAAATAATTTCTGTCCCTGACGGATAAGACGGATCAAGAAGTCGATGTCCTTATTATTCATGGAATCGCGATTTTCGGTCGAAGAAAGGGTAAAAATGGCGGCTTTGAAAGCCTCGATCGATCGCGAAACGCAGAACGCGCGCTGGCTTAAGCTGGCAAATCGCCGATAAGCCAGGTATTAAGCGATTCGGTTGAATAACGAAGACGTTTCGCTCTCGACTAAACCGTAGCGAGCACCAGTAGCAAAACGATAAAAATGCTGCGAGTCTCGGCCGATCTCGAGCACGGTCCCGCGTTTACGGACATCCCGGACAGGATTTATACTCGCGCCGGAACTCGCCACACATTTGCTTGAGGAATTAACCGTGGCTCCGCTGCTTAATCGTGCTATCTATTAGCCAGGTCTGCAAGTATTTATACCCTGAGCCTCGATAGCGAAAGCAAACGCGGGAATCCTGGTCGTTAATTTCCCCAGAAATCGATGAACGTCGCGAGATTCAGCGGATTATGCGCGGGGAAACGTTCGGGGGGGTTGGAAAAATTCGCGATGGCGGCGGTGTAATGGCCATAAAAGCTGTGTCGAGATAGCACGAATTGTCACGGAGGAAAAATATTCAAAGAAAATATACCAAAAGTCCACGATTAAATAGACCTTAATTTTACAGAAGCACGAATAACGACATTTTTAACCATGACTGCGAAGATTGGCTTTAAATAACGATAGGTATTTAATTTTATTTAATTTTATTTAATTTTATTTCACCATACCGATCGACCGATTCGTGAAATTCTAAATGATCGCGTGACGAGATCTTAGAGGAACACAAATATTCAAAGAAAATATACCAAAAGTCCACGATTAAATGAACCGTGATTTTATAGAAGCATGGCTACTAGTGACATTTTTAACCATGACTGCGAAGATTGCGAAGATGGTTATTTCGTTTTATTTCTTATTTCACGATATAATCGATCAGACTTCCTCGAAGCCACGTGAAGATTCTTGAAATTCGAAATGATCGCGTAACGAGATCTTAGAGGAACACAAATATTCAAAGAAAATATACCAAAAGTCCACGCTTAAATGAACCTTGATTTTATAAAAGCATGGCTACTAGTGACATTTTTAACCATGACTGCGAAGATTGCGAAGATGGTTATTTCGTTTTATTTCTTACTTCACGATATAATCGATCAGACTTCCTCGAAGCCACGTGAAGATTCTTGAAATTCGAAATGATCGCGTGACGAGATCTTAAAGAAACAAACATTCAAAGAAAATACATTAAAACTCACGATTAAATGGACTTTAATTTTACAGAAGCATGACTAGCGATATCTCTAACCACGATTGCGAAGGTTGGCTAATCGTTGCGATTAAATACCAATGAATATTTCATTTTATTTCTTATTTCACGATACCGATCGTCCAGATTTCCTCGAAACCGCGCGAAGATTCGTGAAATTCGAAATGATCGCGTGACGAGATCCTAGGGGAAGGCATTACGACACGGTCGAGTTCTCGCGATTAAAAGTTATCGGTAATCTCGACGAGGAGGAAGGCGAACTAGGTCTAGAGCTACGAACGAAAAGTTAGGAGCGCGAGGAAACACGTGGAGGATACGAGACTCACCGGATTCTCCGCGAAGAACGCGTCTTCCTGATGTTTCGTAGGCAGATCCAGAAAGACGGAGGACCTGGATCGATCGTAAAGATCCACGTCGACGAAGAAGTCGAAGAGTGGAGCGCCGTTCACCCTGAGCAGCCTGGAGACCAGGGGTGTGATGTCGGCTGGCGCGATGCTCTTCGGGGGTAGATAGCCGCCGAGTTCGCGTAAAAGCTCGTAAACTGAAACAAGTGATCGTAAACAAGTTTTAACGAGGTTCACGAAGGTGGAACGTGTCGTACACTGGAACTCGGTGTCTCGGTGACAAACGGGGAACGGAGAGGGGCGAAAAGAGGCGAAAAAGGAGAGAGAGAGAGAGAGAGAGAGAGAGAGAGAGAGAGAGAGGAGAGGGATGGAGGATAGGAAAAAAGGACAGGGGTGGCGAAAAAATGCGAGCACCGGCTGGGGGTTTCATTTAAAAATCGATGCATCGATTCGACGAGCAGGTACAATGAAAACCCAGCCGTTCGGTTGGCAAAGCGAAGTTCGTATCCCGATATTTCGCTGTACTTCCTGCCTATTTACCAGCGACTTTTCATCAACGACCTTCGCATCCCTTCTTTATCAGCGCTGCGCGAGCCATCGGGGGTTGCAACTATAAACTATAAATAAAAGCCGAACACGTCGGTGGACGTGTGTGAGCGAGATCCACGGTAAAGATCAACAACGGCCTTATCCTGGCTTTGCGATCTCCGCTTAACGCGTCTCTCTGACGGAACCAACAGCGACCTTCGGTTCACGGATACACCGTTATCGAGAAGCTGTCAGGCCTCGTTCGACTATTCCACGATTCCCATGTACCGTTCTTAATGCATCGATTCGGGTGACGAGTGAACTCGTCGTTGAAGAATGCGTTGTAACACGGGTGACGAGGGAACTCGTTGCTGAGGAATCTGTTGTAACATGGGTGACGAGTGATTAGCGACCTTCGGTTCACGGATACACCGTTATCGAGAAGCTGTCAGGCCTCGTTCGACTATTCCACGATTCCCATGTACCGTTCTTAATGCATCGATTCGGGTGACGAGTGAACTCGTCGCTGAAGAATGCGTTAATGAATTGAACTCGTCGCTAAAGAATGCACTGTAAAGCGGGTGACGAGTGAACTCGTCGCTGAAGAATGCACTGTAAAGCGGGTGACGAGTGAACTCGTCGCTGAAGAATGCGATGTAACACGGATGACGAGGGAACTCGTTGCTGAGGAATCTGTTGTAACGTGGGTGACGAGTGATCTTGTCGCTTAAATATGCATTGTAACGAATGAATTGAACTTGTCGCTAAAGAATGCACTGTAAAGCGGGTGACGAGTGAACTCGTCGCTGAGAAATCCGTTGTAACGCGGATCACGAGTGAATTCGTCGTTAAGGAATGAGTTGTAATATGGATGACAAGTGCATTCGTCGCTAAAAAGTACGTTGTAACGTGGGTGACGAGTGATCTTGTCGCTTAAATATGCATTGTAACGAATGAATTGAACTTGTCGCTAAAGAATGCACTGTAAAGCGGGTGACGAGTGAACTCGTCGCTGAGAAATCCGTTGTAACGCGGATCACGAGTGAATTCGTCGTTAAGGAATGAGTTGTAATATGGATGACAAGTGCATTCGTCGCTAAAAAGTACGTTGTAACGTGGGTGACGAGTGAACTCGTCGTCCAAGAATGCGTTCTAATGCAGGTGACGAGCGAACTCGTCGTCCTAGGACGCGTTGCAACGCGGTTGTCGAGTGAACTCGTCGCTGAGGAATCCACTGTAACGTGGATGACGAATGATCACGTCGTTTAAAAATGCGTTGTAACGGGTGTGACGAAGGAACTCGTCGTTGAGGAATCCGTGGTAACGCGGATGACGAGTTAACTCGTCGTCCAAGAATGCGTTGTAACGTAGGTGACGAGTGAACTCGGCGTACATGAACGCGTTGTAACACGGTTGTCGAGTGAACTCGTCATTAAAGAATGAGTTGTAACGCGGGAGACGAGTTGACTCGTCGTCCAAGAATGCGTTGTAACACGGTTGTCGAGTGAACTCGTCGCTGCGGAATCTATTGTAACGCGGGTGACGAGTGAACTCGTCGTTTAAAAATACGTTGTAACGAGTGCGACGAAGGAACTCGTCGCTGAGGAATCCATGGTATCGCGGGTGACGAGTTGACTCGTCGTCCAAGAATGCGTTGTAACACGGTTACCGAGTGAACTCGTCGCTACGGAATCCGTTGTAACGCGTATAACGAGTGAACTCGTCGCTAAAAAATACGTTGTAACGCGAATGACGAATGAACTCGTCGTCAAAGAATGCGTTGTAACACAAATTACGACTGAATTCGTCATTAAGGAATGAGTTGTAACACGGGTGACGAGTAAACTCGTCGCTGAAGAATGCACTGTAACACATGCGACGAGTGAACTTGCGAACTTCGAAGACGCGAATAAAATATCGCTATTTCGTGTTTCAAACCGTGTTTTAGACCATGGATGAAAGGTGCAGTCGTTTGATGCCTCGTAAGTTGCCGTTTCCAATATTCTTGCACATAGCTTCGCGTATGAAGCTCGTGTGTTGCTACGGATATGGTGTTTGTATTTGTAAGAAGAAAAATAATAACGTGGCACAGCTTTTTAGCGAGTAGAATTATAGCGACATAAAATGGGGAACGAAGCTTGTTTAACCCCACAGAGTATGGTATAATTATGAGAAACTGTGCATTGCGAAATTAATTTCAGTTTAATTGACCACTATATACCTGTTTTATGCAGAATAAAATTATACAAATTTTCGCGGGTTATACGAATTCTGCGAATGTTAATTAATATTTATGGTGCAAACAACTCGTTATTATAATATATCTTTGTTTCTAAAGCTTGTAAAAATATATATCTGCAATAATTACATCCATTTTTCCCAGAACCTCGCACAGATTGTGATATACAGTAAAATTAACTAAAATGTTTACTTAAAATCCTTTTTAATATATACCAAATTGGAAATTGCACCCTTTCTGCCTGGATAATTGGTTAGTCGATTAAGAAATGTTTACAGATCGTTAAAATCAATCTGCAATAGTAATTTACTCTGCTATGAGATTGACGATGTTGTTTCTTACAGAAACCATCACAATGGAGCAACAGATTTACATACATGTGGGATTGGAATAAGTACGGCCCTGGAAGAATGGCAAGTGTGTCTGGACCCAGAACGAAAGAGACCGAGCACAAGAGGATCGATTTCAATGAATGTTTAGGTTAGAGTGAAAGATTACAGATGCGTGCAGAGTGTTTGAAGGTACAGCGCCCTCCGAGGTTGCGTAGCAAAGAAGTATGACTGGAAAGGAAAGCCTGGGTATGGAAAAGGACAGAGTGGATGCTTAAATAAGGGTGCCAGGGCGCGGGCAGCACCAGCCTTCACGGTCTTCAAGATAGCGTCTAACAAGTAAAAGTCGAGCTTACCCGTAGCGGGTCTCCAGTTTCGTAGCCAATAAGTATGTTTATTGTATTTTAAGAAGCAGTAAAACATTACTTTAGCCAATCCACACACCCCGATCCTACATACATGTATATGTACACATACAGAGTCGAGCAATCGTAACCTGTCCTCCTCCTCTCCTTTTAAAAGCTTTTCTACGATAAGCCGAGTGGTACAGAAGCAAAACTTTTTATCGTTGACGCCAATTACATAATTTATAAACAAACCATTCATCTCTATAATCGGCTTATCATAAGAATCTCAAAGCAATAATTAAAACGATAATAAAAATAGCAAATTTCACGTTTTCACGAAAAATACCAGTCTTGCAGCATGAATGCACCTGTCATAGGTATTTTCAAGAGATTGCATATTTAAAAAGAGTCCTGAAAATGCTACAAACAGGAAACACCAAATAATACTAACTAATAATACTAACAATCACGTCAATTACACTGAGGTCAATTACACTCATGTCAATTACACTCGCATTAATTAAAAAAGAAGAACACAAGTTATAAGACACTGCCAACTGCCATTAATCATTGAATATCATTCTCAAACACATTCCAATCGATTAGTCGAAGCACCTAATCAAAAGAAGACAAAATAAAATCCTCAATGACCTCGAAGAAGCACTCGAATGCAGTCATACAACCCCTTATGAAATCCTAAGCTAGCTTAAACAATTATAAAAGCTAGCAAAACAAACACACACACTCAATGTTAATATGCAAATCTTACGTCTTTCGCTAACAGTCCATATAGGTGGACGCAATTTTAAATATATAAATTAGAAAAATAATTTTTAAACAAATTCGTGAGAGGTACTTTTCCAATAGCCTAAGCAGGTCGTAACCATACACTGGGTTAACGTCACGCTGAATTTCTTATTAAGTGTAACCAACTGTAAATCAACGCACGACGACCAAACGGAGGCCAGATTCGAGGGAATAAAAAGTCCCAGTGCCGGCACGATAGCGTGTCACGAACGATACCGATCACGGCATAATACGCTCGCTTATAATATCATTGCTCGCTGCTATCTAGCCGCGAGATCTGGCCAATCCGTGATACAATTTATTTTCCTAGCATGCGAATCGAAACGCACGAAAATTCCCTCTCTGCTTCGCCACTGTTCATCGGACAGTGCTGCAGAGATTATTTTTATTTAAATCCCAGCTGCTCGCGGGAGGAGGTTAGGTAGACGAAGGAAAACAAATTATTCGCGGAACCAATATTTATCCCACAATTTCGATTCCATAATTAAACCCCATGATAACTGTAATATTGGTAAATGAACCGAGTGATATTCAATGCCAGTGTGAGTTCAGCGAGTCAATTCTGTGTAAGAGCTGGTTCTGAAGAGGCCTTTGAGAGAGTCCATTTTGCAATAAATATTATACAATATTATACAATAAATATTATTCGTGTTAAGTAGTAATATATAATAAATTAATCCGTGTACAGGTAGCCTTCCTGTAACACGGTAGATAGGTTCCTAGAAAATGCCGTGTTGTGTGAAACCGTGTTGTATGAGACCCAGAGCCAGTACAAAAAGGGGGGTTACGTTCCGAAAACTTACTAAAAGCAAATTCTTTTTTAAAGTCTACATAAACAACTTAATTGTTATTAAAAATATAAATGTATGTACAACACAAAACAAAAATATTATTTTAATTTATTGCAACTTTAATTTAATAAATTTCTTCGTCGTCACTGCTCATGT